TTCAACGTAAACACATTGGCCACCAATGCCTTGAGGCATTTGTCAAACGCTGTTGCCAAGATTCAAGCTTTCTTAATGATCGGGGATAATTTATTCTTACAATAAAGTTTCCATGAAGAGAAGAGTGAGTGAGTTTGGTTTAACGCCGCTTTTAACAGTATTCCAGTTATATCACGGCGTGTCAGCTTAATGTGGGAGGAAAGCTCGAAGTGATGCAGGTCTCAGACGTTTACCACTTCCGTGAAACCCTAGAGCACGGGTATGGTGCTGACAAACCTAGAAACATAATCGGGGCGAACCGGGATTCGGACCCACTATCATAGGTTTCTTGCGTGCCCAAGGGACGCAACTCTGCACAGCGAATCGCGGCGACTTGGACGACTGGGCCACCCCTGCCTCCCATTCTGAAGAAGAATGTATATATACGTGCTTAAATGTTTATCATTTAAAGGATACTTTTGATATTGTCTGTTTAAGTAATCGAATTATTTGAAGATTATAATACATATATTGTTTATTGTTCTGGTTTGTTTTTTTTAAATTTTTGTTGTTGTTGTTTAACGCCGCACTCAGCAATATTCTAGCTTCATGACGTTTGTCTGTAAATAATCGAGTCTGGACCAGACATACCAGTGTTTGACATCATGAGCATCGATCCACGCAATTGGGATCGATGACATGCATCAACCAAGTCAGCGAGCCTGACCACCCGATCCCGTTTGTCGCCTCTCACGACAAGCATAGTCGCCATTTACGGCAAGCATGGGTTGCTGAAGACCTGTTGCATCAACCAAGTCAGCGAGCCTGACCACCCGATCCCGTTTGTCGCCTCTCACAACAAGCATAGTCGCCTTTTACGGCAAGCATGGGTTGCTGAAGACCTGTTGCATCAACCAAGTCAGCGAGCCTGACCACCCGATCCCGTTTGTCGGCTCTCACGACAAGCATAGTCGCCTTTTATGGCAAGCATGGGTTGCTGAAGACCTGTTGCAGCAACCAAGTCAGCGAGCCTGACCACCCGATCCCGTTTGTCGCCTCTCACAACAAGCATAGTCGCCTTTTACGGCAAGCATGGGTTGCTGAAGACCTGTTGCATCAACCAAGTCAGCGAGCCTGACCACCCGATCCCGTTTGTCGGCTCTCACGACAAGCATAGTCGCCTTTTATGGCAAGCATGGGTTGCTGAAGACCTATTCTACCCCGGATCTTCACGTTCATTGTTCTGAAAAAGAAAATATATTATATAATATTAGCATATCATTTTGATGATTATTTATTCAGCGTGTGGAATTTCACATCGTCTCGTATGTCTGAAACATGGTACTTATCACGCACTGAATCAAAGGTTTGTAAATAAACAAAAAAAGATAACACTGAAACTGCTGACATGATTATTGTAACAACATGATTATCTGATTGCCATAAAATGACAGACCATTTGTTATGACCCGTGAAGATTCCGGGGTAGAATAGGTCTTCAGCAACCCATGCTTGCCGTAAAAGGCGACTATGCTTGTCGTAAAAGGCGACTAACGGGATCGGGTGGTCAGGCTCGCTGACTTGGTTGATACGGTTATCTCCCAAAACCCCTACATCCCATTTCCCCTACAACCCAGTTCCCCTACAATTAGTTAAAACAACACGCGGCATTTACCTGTCTGGCATTATGAACTCACCTAAAGGAGAGATTAAGGTCTGGAGTAGAGGTAGTAGAAATGAAAGGGGTAGAGCTTTAGGGGATTAGGGGATTTAAAGGAAAGTTTAAAAAAGAAGAAGAATTAATGTAAGTGTAATGTATGGTGAGAAGACAATTTTTAGAAATTAAAAAAATAACAATAGGAAGAAACAATTATTACACTGAGAAACTGAGATGTGACGATTTACAGTTGAGATGGCTAGGTTTAGTATATAGATACTTGAAACTGACTAACATGAGCTAGCCAAATAAATAAACAAACCGACCCAAACATAGCTAAAACTACCACACTAGCATACATACACGAAAATTGGCCAAATTGGTGTCACATTTACACGGACGGATCCTCAGATCCGACCTCCAAACACACAGGTTTCGGTGTCCATACCACACAACCAACTAAAACCACACAATCCTTCCGACTCCCAAACAACCAATCAATATTCACGGCAGAACTAATGGGCATGGCCTCAGCCCTCCATAATCAAGAATCCAAAATCCACAAAAAAATCCTAATACTTACCGACTCCCTAAGTGGACTGCAAGCCCTCCAAAACAAAAATACCAAAAACCGACCTAAATTAATAAATCAAATACTTAAAAGCTCCAACGACCTAACTAAGGCAGGCAAACAAATAACCTTCTTGTGGATACCCGCCCACGTAGGAATATACGGTAATGAAAACGCCGATAAAGCAGCTAAACTATCCCTCAAAATCCCAGAAATAAGCTTAAACTTACCAATCTCAAAATCTGAAATTAAAAGTGTAAACAAGCAAAAAATCACCAAAAAATGGCATAACCTATATCTAAACTCAAATAGCCAAATCAAAAAAGTGCTCAGCAAACCACTAACCAAACCAAAAATTCTCCATCCATCCAAAAAAATCGACAGAGTAATCACTAAACTCCAAACAGGACACACCAACCTAAATAACCACCTAAAAAAATTTAAAAAACACACTACAGGTAACTGCCCACACTGCAAACAACCAGAAACCCCAGAACACGCACTCATCCACTGCACACACTACCTAACACATCGAACCGCATTACAAACCACCCTCAATCTAAACAAGGCTCTAACTCTAGAAGCAATACTAAACCCACAAAATAAACTAGAAAACTTCAAGGCCTTAGGCGTATTCTTAATCAAAACGGAACTAATAAAACGCATCTAAAAACACAATAACTCACCAAATCAAAATCACATAAACAAACAAACATCCACCATACCCAGCTCCCTTAGTTCTCCTCCCCAATCCCATCGGCATCTATTCCAAATCTCAAAATTCCCAAATTCTATATAAGCAACCCCTAAAACCCCCCTCTTGGGTTGCACAGACCACCTTCGCCCCTTTCGGAAACACATTAAATGGCCTGGCCGGGCCCGTGTGCGAAATACGCATCAGTCGGAAAGCGCACGTTAAATCTCCAAAGTAAGTAAGTAAGTAAGTACTAACATGACCCGTGTGCGAAATACGCTGCAGTCGGAAAGCGCACGTTAAATCTTCTATATCAGTCAGTCAGACTAACATGACATCAACATGGCTGGTCTTCGCAATGTTGAGTTTGTTATGTCACAGAGAGGAAAGCCCCAAGTCCTATTTGATGGTTAACTTCACACTAAGAACGTCGAGAGACTGACTTGCGTACACTGGAAGTGTGTCAAGTCCACATGTAGAGGGAGACTCACGACAGTAGGAACCGTGATTAGGAATGCTACAGAGCATAACCATGCTCTTGAGGATAGCCAGAAGGTCCGGTTTATGAGCACCCTGAGGAAGAGAGCGAGAGAAGAGTCAACCCCGATGCACACCCTCTACAACGACGAACTCTCCAACTTGAACAACGACGAGACAGGAATGATGCCATCCTTCCCCACCACGAGCAGCGCGTTGTACCGGCACAGACAGAAGACGATTCCTGTTTTGCCACAGACAAGATCGGAGGTGGATCTTCAGGATTCCTGGACGCAGACAGCAGATGGACGACCCTTCCTCCTGTTTGCTGACGGTGATGATGACAAGATCCTGGCGTTTGGCAGTCTAGAGAGTCCCGAGGCCTTGCAGAGATTCTACACATGGATGGAACGTTCTGGACTGTGGAATCAAGTGTACATCATCCATGCAAGACTCGGAGCCACGACCTACACCCTCATCTTTGCCTTACTCCCCGACCGTCAGACAGACACCTACTCAAGACTCTGGGATAAAGAGTGAATTGAACATTTGAGATGAAATTTATTATAAGGTATTATGAATTTTGAAAAATGAACATTTTGTTATTATGTATTATGAATTTTGAATAATATCGTAATCGTAATTAAATATTTATCTCAATCTATTGGTGTTTCTTGGGTTGTTCCATTGTATGAAATAGGTAACAGACTAGGGATTAGCAGTGCCATGGACCGTGAACTTTGTTGTCTTAAGCTGTAGGGGAAATGGGATGTAGGGGTTTTGGGAGGTTACCGTTGATACATGTCATCGATCCCAATTGCGTGGATCGATGTTCATAATATCTATCACTGGATTGTCTGGTCCAGACTCGATTATTTACAGACCGCCGTCATATAGCTGTAATATTGCTGAGTGCGGCGTTAAACAACAAACCAACCAACCAAACCATTTTTTATAGGTATATAGATTTTGTCAGTTTAAAAACTTAAACCGATCTGGATCTATCGTCCTTCGTTCTGAAAACACCAGGGCCTTTTAAACAAGACGCTGAACCAGTGTGAACCACCAGATACAGGTTTTCTGTATCGTCTCTGATACCTGTCTATTTCCTTGGTCTAGTGGATAGAGCGTTTGCCCGAGTGCGGAATTCAAGGTCAGTGGTTCGCATGTCGCTATATAAAGCGCAGTGAACTTGATGACGACGTTAAACACTTCATCTCACCTCAACTGTTTGTAAAAATGATAAAGTATTGGAACCGTCTGTTATACCAAGAGAGCGTCTGCTCGGAGAGCGGAAGGTTCGTGGTTCGATCCCTGACTCTCGGCATTAAAGGGCTTAAACAAGAACTGCTCGGTTCGGAGTCAGCATACTCTGGTCAGTGGTAAAGCACTAAAAAATCGGCATTAGTCCAAACTAGTACACGCACGCACGCACCCACGCACGCACGCACCCACGCACGCATCCACGCACGAGCAGGTAGAGACCATAAAATAGATTCAGTTCATGACTCAGGTCAAGAGCTCAGGACAAACGAAGCGCCAAGATTGTATGAAGCGCACGTAAAATCTTCAAAATGACCCACATTACACAAGCTGGTCCATGACAAGTCACGTGACGGGATTAGAAACAAGAACACGTGTGCGGGGTTACGCAAGTGGAACGGAGCGTTCGGAAACATGGCGAATACGCCGAGAGTGTTTAATATTGTGGTCATCGGTGTGGGGATTGCCGGGAGGGTGAGGATCCGAGATCTGAAGGAGGTTGAGGCTGCAGGAAAAGGTCTCGCACTTACTGGATTTGTTTCAAGGTAAGTCCCGTCTTGCGGCTGTGTAGATGAATTACTGCCACATCCCCGGTCTGATCTTGTCCGTAACGCCTGGTTCATGTAAAACATTGTGTATGAGTGTGTTTATGCTTTACGTCACATCGGCATTATTTCAGCCATATCAACTATGTGTTCTCTGTCCATCGTGTTGTGACAGTATTATCCCCTTGTTGTCAACACCTACCTATGTTATCCCACTCATATATGCAATTGTTGTTACTGTTAATCCTCCACCTACTATATATATTCTGTACTAAGTCCCTCAGCCAGTCTTACTTGACAATGGTGTAAGGATCTATACCGAAACGTCGCTTTTTACAGTATTAAAGAAGTTGTTATACATAAAATTGTGTCTACCTTGTCATATCGTGACGATGAAACATTGTGGAGTGCCTATCGGAGCATATGATAAATACATGTTAATATAACTGTATGGCGTACTCGTTTAGAATAATTTGAGTGAGTGAGTGAGTTGGGTTTAACGCCGCTTTTAACAGTGTTCCAGTTATATCACGGCGTGTCAGCTTAATGTGGGAGGAAAGCCCGAAGTGATGCAGGTCTCAGACGTTAACCACTTCGGTGAACCCCACGAGCACGGGTATGGTGCTGACAAACCTAGAAACATAATCGGGGTGAACCGGGATTCGAACCCACAATCATAGGTTTCTGGCGTGCCAAAGGGACGCAACTCTTCACAGCGAATCGCGGCGCCTTAGACGACTGGGCCACACGTGCCCCCAGAATAATTTGAAGAAACGTTTATGACGTATGGACGTATACATCATACATTGCTTACATTTGAAATGTTACACTTACAGATGGATTAGTTCCATGGTTTGGTGCCATTTTGAAGTCAATGTCCAGACGGTTTATACTATGTACACATTGCCTTTGTGTAATTAGGGTGATGGATTGATGTACGTAATAAAATTTGATATTGCAGAAAAAACAATGTGAATTTTGAATATCTTGAATTAAATTTGTAGGACTTGAAATTTTCCTTGAAAGAACTACATCAGCTTTTTGTTCGTTTGTTTGTTGTTTAACGCCGCACTCAGCAATATTACAGCTATGTGACGTTGGTCTGTAAATAATCGTGTCTGGAACAGACAATCCAGTAATTGACATCATGAGCATCGATCCATGCAGTTGGGATCGATGTCATGCATGAATAAAGTCAGCGAGTCCAACCGTTAGTTGCCTCTTACGAGATGAGCTCACAAGGGGAAGATAGGCTTCTGGCAGAATAATAATGTAGGGTTTAAGTTGGGTGAGTATTCAACGCCGCATATGCAGCGGCGATCAGTGTTTAATAATTAAACGCCGCGGTTGTAGTAGTTCCCCGTGGGAATATGCATACATGTATGCCTTGTTTGAGACAAGCTGCTGCATATCAAGTGTCAGTGATGCACGTGTATTGCTTATTGTCCTAATGTGGCATAGCTACCACTATTCAGCATGTCCCTTGTGCACACCAGGGGGCACGGGTGGCCCAGTCGTCTAAGGCGCCGCGATTCGCGATGCAGAGTTGCGTCCCTTGGGCACGCCAGAAACCTATGATTGTGGGTTCGAATCCCGGTTCGCCCCGATTATGTTTCTAGGTTTGTCAGCACCATACCCGTGCTCGTGGGTTTCACCGAAGTGGTAAACGTCTGCTCCTTGCATCACTTCGGGCTTTCCTCCCACATTATGCTGACACGTCGTGATATAACTGGAATAATGTTAAAAGCAGCGTTAAAACCCAACTCACTCACTTGTGCACACCACGCTTAGTTTCTGGGTATATATGCAAATGTCCCTGGTGTATGTAATTAACTATTTAATAAAGTCAACTGAACTGATCTGTTGTATTCAGCTGTAATCTGAACGCAGTGACTTACTCTTAATTTGTAGCCATTAACCGTCATGTGTGGAAACATAATTGTAGGAGTGGTGAATAGGGACTGAGTGAATAGGGAGTGAGCGAATAGGGAGTGAGTGAATATTGAGTGAGTAAATAGGGAGTGAGTGAATAGGGGGGGGGGAGTGAATAGGGAGTGAGCGAATAGGGAGTGAGCGAATAGGGAGAGCGAATAGGGAGTGAGGGAATATTGAGTGAATGAATAGGGAGTGAGTAAATAGTGAGTGAGCGAATAGGGAGTGGGTGAATAGGGAACGAGCGAATAGGGAGTGAGTGAATAGGGAGTGAGCGAAAAGGGAGTGAGTGAATAGGGAGTGAGCGAATAGGGAGTAAGCGAATAGGGAGTGAGCGAATAGGGAGTGAGTAAATATTGAGTGAGTGAATAGGAAATGAGCGAATAGGGAATGAGTGAATAGGGAGTGAGCGAATAGGGAGGGACTGAATAGAATAGAGTTAGAAAACCCCTGTAACAGCTGACCTTCGATGCGCGTATCTCTCATGTATTTCACCAGTTCGTTTTAGGTTGGGTGATTGATAAATTTTATTGACGTTTACTTTCTACAAATTTTAGTTTTACGACGGTGTTTGTTTGTTTGTTGTTTAACGCCGCACTCAGCAATATTCCAGCTATATGACGGCGGTCTGTAAATAATCGAGTCTGGACCAGACAATCCAGTGATTGACATCAAGCGCATCGATTCACGCAATTGGGATACGATGACATGCATCAACCAAGTCAGCGAGCCTGACCACCCGATCCCGTTAGTCGCTTCTTACGACAAGCATAGTCGCCTTTTACGGCAAGCATTATTATTATTATTATTATTATTATTATTATTATTATTATCATTATTATTATTATCAGGCGCACTCTTGATATTGACGGTGTACGACAACTGACCCTAGACGAAGCGCTGCAGTCCCCGGATGTAGATGGCGTGGCGGTGTGCACAGAGCCCGGATCACACGAGGACACCGTGCAGTGAGATGGCCGTCTTCGTTCGATGCTTCAATTTGGTTCAGTTTGAACATTTAGATACATCTATATATTCTCAAATAAATTGACAGAGAACGAGTCAAAAGGGAAAACATATGTTTGTAATGAAATGTCTTATACACTCCCACGATAATACTCAACTTGTGTTTTTATACCCACACATTCCACTCAGTAACATTTACTCATTGACCTGGGTGCCACTGCACAAAGCGATCTCAGCACTAAGGTGATTGTAACTCTCATACCTTAACACTGACTTGCGGCAGTCCTTGAGCTAAGGTTGTTTTGTACAACGGGGCCCTAAAGCATCCCCTTTTCACCCGCAAGTATGAGTATATTTTTTTGGGTGTATATTTAATACTTTAAATAATAATCCGTTATTTATATGTAAATGGGTGTACTACAAGTATAAGTTACAGTATTATGCAGCTGATAGATTAGAGTATCCACAGGCCATATACACTTCTGAATACATAAGCACATGACACGTTGATAAATAGTCAGTTTGTAATAACGGGAAGGTCACCAGGTGGTGCATGGTTAACATAATGGCAGGTTTTCCCCTGTCTTCCCGAGGCAAGAGAGTTAACTGTCTTTAAAAGTCCAGTTTCCACCCTTACCGAACTAGGCTGGTATTCATGGGCTCGATAGTAGCGCCACCAGTGGATATTACGAGTTATGTCTCTTCTCTGCCTCTCCTATGGACCAATCAGATTCCACCTCTCCTATGACTTTTTGTTTAAAACAAAACGACGGCGCCCTGTCAAGACGATCTGATCAATAACCAAGATCTATATTGTGATACAACGGGTCTTACATCGCGAAGTGCATCAAATCACGTGAGCACCTTGATTAAAAACATGAAAAAATTAGCAAAGTATCTGTTACGAGTTATCGGTGCACATGCTTTGCAAATCCTGCAATCGACCGAAATCTGCACGACAGTTTTTGAACCGGATTTCGATTTCGTTGCGCGATTTTGATTGGACTATGCATAGACTCGTTAGTCCAGCCAAAATGTAACTCCATAATACCAACCTAGTTCGGCAAGGGTGGAAACTGGACTTTTATAGTCAGTTAACTCTCTTGCTTTGGGAAAATGGTTGTGTAAGGTCACAAAGCTTCTGGATTTACCGTGTTTCTCACTGAAACTTACAGACTAGTTGACAGTTATGGTGTATACTGATTTGCAGAAAGGCGCTGAATCACAATAAACACGTGCTGGTGGAATACCCAGTCGCTGCCAGTCCACAGACGGCCAGACAGCTGTACTCTCTAGCTGCAGAAAAGGGTGGGTATTTTATAGATGGCAAACACTCATATTGACAACAGATACCATGTTGGCAACCACGCATACTGACCACATATACCATGTTGCCAACCACGTATACAGACCACATATACCATGTTGCCAACTACGTATACTGACCACAAACACCATGTTGGCAACCACGATACTATGTTGTACTATGATGTTGGCAGGGCTGGTGCTCCATGAAGAAAACATCGCTCTTCTAACAGAGGCCCACTCAAGACTGAAAGAGAAGGTTGCCACATCCACATCGAGGCTCAAATCAGGGGAGATAATGCTGAGAGGTAAGTGTTTGAGAGATTACTGTTCCTTCAAGACAATCAACAGATTTGTTCAGCACACCCACTGATAATCCCACCCAAGACAATCAGATGGTTGTTCCCTTTCTCTGCAAGCTTACAGAGGTGAGGTGAGGTGAAATGGGGTTCAACGTCGCGTCCAAGATTATTGCACTTGTGTGTGTGGCTGCTTGTACTACTCTGGACTGATGCCGATTTATAGTGCTAGCCCACTGAGATACCATGCCGCAGTTTAACATGAATACTCCACTCTTTTGGTATGACGCGGCCGGGGATCGAACCAACGACCTTCCGCTCTCCGGGCGGACGCTCTACCACTAGACCACAGAGGCTGTCACAAGCTTACAGAAGAGAAATACTTCGACCTGTTGAAGCGGTACGAGTGACTCAGACGTCTAGCGCGCCACAATTTGCTGTGGAGAGATGCGTCTTTCGGGCGCGCGGACACAAGTGACGTAGGTTCGAATCCCCCATTCGCCCCTGATCATGTTTCTGTTTATCTGCGCCAGGCCTATGCTTGTATGTTTTACGACAGAGTAAACATGTAACGTCTGCATCAATAGGGTCTTTCCGACCACAGGAAGCCAGCACTGTGTGATAGGGGCGTTAAGTGCTAACTCAGTTACTTACAATCTGTCGTAGGCAACTACAACGGCTGGATAGAAGACTTCAGCAGGTCTGGCCTTCCTTTCACGACCAATGTAGCCGTTATACAGACTGTTATAGCAGTGTTTGGGAAGGTCACAGCGACCCACGCCGACATGCAGACCACGGAGAAGGGGTTTGTTGCCACTGGAGACGTGCAGACTGAAGCAGGGTATGTAGTTACATGGAGGTGGACTTGGTTGATACATGTCTTCGAAAACCAATGATGTGGATCGATGCTCATGATGTCAATCTCTGGGTTGTCTGGTCCAGACTCGATTATTTACAGACCGCCGTCATATAGCTGGAATATTTCTGAGTGCGGCGTTAAACAACAAACAAACAAACAAAACATGGAGGTAGAACTACAATTAGTAGAACTTATGGGAGATGCGACATAATGGGACGTATTTGCATTGCTTGCCTGATCTTAGAGCGACATGGGTGTCGTTGTATAAAACAACCTCAGCACTTCGACTGTCGTTAGTGTATGTGATGGTACGATCACCTTAGCGTTAAGATCGCTTTATACAAAGGCACCCTGGCCTATAGCTACACCGAAAGACTTACTTAGAAACTTGTGTCAAATTGAAACTGCCCCTGATCCTAAACATATAATAACCCTCTGTAAACGGTGTCACGGATAACAGAGAGGAAGGAAATCAAGGCAGCACCTCAAAAATAAAATCGGCAGTTCCCATGATAAGGTCACATCGCTTTGACGTCATATCAGGATTGACGTCCTATCACAATAGGGGCTTCTACGATAAGCTGGGCCCCGTCTTTCCCATCACAGTATCAGTTGAGGACAGATTTCTACCATGTTTTATTTCATAGTGAGTGATAGAGTCAGTGTGTTGTCTATTTGCTACAGCCACGCTTGTCATGTCCCCGTGTTTCCAGCTCAGTGATACGGCTGATGTCGGAGAGATACAAGGAAAAGGTGCCCAGGGTAAAAACTCTCAGATTTGAGTTTGAAGATGGCAGTGTGTTTGATACGGAGGGGGACAAACCACCCCAGTCAACTCCAGGGCCTGGCGAAACCCCAAAGACAGCACCAGGGCAAGGGAATCAGAAAAAGAAAGGTGAAGTACCAGGTCTCGCATGATTTGGATGTTTATACATTATATAGGCGTGTCGAAATAAAGTTGAACATTCTAATCGATATTAAGAAAAGAACAGTACCAGGTCTTGCAGTATTTGGATGTTTATACATTATATAGGCGTGTCGAAATAAAGTTGAACATTCTAATCGATATTAAGAAAAGAACAGTACCAGGTCTTGCAGTCTTTGGATATTTATACATTATATAGGCGTGTCGAAATAAAGTTGAACATTCTAATCGATATTAAGAAAAGATCAGTACCAGGTCTTATAGTATTTGGATGTTTGTACATTATATAGGCGTGTCGAAATAAGGGTGAACATTGTAATCGATATTAAGAAAGATGCAGTTCCAGGTCTTGTAGTATTTGGATGTTTGTACATTATATAGGCGTGTCGAAATAAGGGTGAACATTCTAATCGACATTAAGAAAGATGCAGTTCCAGGTCTTGCAGTATTTGGATGTTTATACATTATATAGGCGTGTCGAAATAAAGTTGAACATTCTAATCGATATTAAGAAAGGTGCAGTTCCAGGTCTTGCAGTATTTGGATGTTTATACATTATATAGGCGTGTCGAAATAAAGTTGAACATTATAATAGATATTAAGAAAAGATCAGTACCAGGTCTCGCATGATTTGGATGTTTATACATTATATAGGCGTGTCGAAATAAAGTTGAACATTCTAATCGATATTAAGAAAGGTGCACTACCAGGTCTTGTAGTATGTGGATGCTTCTACATTATACAAATAAAGTTAAACTTCTTATCGATATTACGTTTTAGGTAAAGATGTTACTGTGTTGTGTTTCACATGAAAACATGGGTTGATAGCATTAGCACATTAACATACGATCCTCTGAAGTCGGATTCCATCACAAGATTGATATAAATGGGATTATTCTGTTTTTTCAATTCCCACGTGTCATTGTTATTATTTTACACTAAATGAATCCCACATTTCAGGTTTATTCATGCAAGATCTGGTATTATTCTTAGAGAAGCTTCAAGGTCAAAGGCCAAAGTCAGAAGGATCTGAATTATCTGTGGATGCTCTGGAGGTGGCTGTTGGACTCAACTCCCTCATCGCTGCTAAAACGTGAAGACATCACAGAGAAAGATTTAGGCGCAGTATCAAACGGAACAGAAGCCGCATCAAGCGCACTTACATTTACACGCCCTGTCAAGTGATATTTCAATAATCATGTACTGTCTTGCCAGTTTAGTTCTCTTTTAATAGTAAGGTATAATTGTTTCTTTGTTTGGGTTTGGTTTAGTAGTTTCTTCTTCGCCGTCATATAACTGAAAATATTGTTCAAAGCAGGTGTTAGACCAAACTCACTCCTTTCCTAACGTAAAACTGTAATTGAGTATCGTTAGCCTGACGGCTTAATGTGGGAGGTAAGGCCCACGTGACACAGGTTTACCCCTTTGGTTTTGTTTTGTTTGTTTGTTTGTTGGTTTTGTTTTGTTTGTTTGTTTGTTAACGCCCACTCAGCAATATTCCAGCTATATGACGGCGGTCTGTAAATATTCGAGACAGACAATTTAGTGATTTACATCATGAGCATCGATCCACGCAATTGAGATACGATGACATGCATCAACCAAGTCAGCGAGCCTGGCCAACCGATCTCGTTAGTCGCCTCTTACGACAAGCATAGTCGCATCTTACAGCAAAGATGCATGGGTTGCTGAAGACCTATTCTCTCTTCACGGGTCTCAATACTGATGAAACAATGTATGTATGTGTCATAGCGACCGATTTGGGACAACCTTTGTCTGAATGAACATTTGATTCCAAAAGCTAAATAACCTGTAGCCATGACATGTCCAGGATCACTCAATTGCAATTACCCAATTATTAACCCCCATTGTATTGTCCATTGACTGTCAACCATCCTGAACGAGCTGTGCAAATAATGTCACTTCTGGTTATTACTGTTATTTTTATGACTTAATCCGTGTTAGATGCCCTTGGATATAAGCCTTGGCCCAGAGACGAAAACTAAGATGGTCTTGTCCTCAGCCTAGATAGGGTAAGGCTAGGTGCTCCGGGGCACAAACACAAAAAAACACTACCAGTATGTGCCGACCTGGCACATAGTAGCGCTTTCTACATAACATCAACGTCAGACAAATGCGTTGTAATATACTACTCAAAAGAAGTTAAGGATCACCTGATTCTTTCATATTACTATAGTTAATCTCTCATGTCATGACAGATTAACTTTACCATTATGAAAGAATCGGGTGATCCTTAACTTCTTTTGAGTAGTATATATATATATAGTCACTGGCAAAAGTTGTGCAACTGAACTTTACCCAGAACACACCAGAACACAGACATGCAGTCGCTATATAAGTGAACGCGACGTTGAAACCCAATTCACCTGACCTCACTCTGCCAATGAAACAATAAATTAAGATGGCATAAATCCAATGATTTTGTACCGATTGTTTGTTGTGTATCACCGCACCCGGCAATATTCAGGCTATATGACCGCAATCTGTAAATAACCAAATTTGGACCAGACAATCTAGCGATTGACATCACGAGCACCGATCAGCACAATGGGATAGGATGACATGCATCAACAAAGTAAGCTAGCCTGACCGCCCGATCCCGTTAGTCGCCTCTTACGACAAGCATGGGTTGCTGAAGACCTATTCTACCCCAGGTCTTCACGGATCCTCTCGCAAGTCAAATTGCTGTATATAACATATAATCTATTGTTATCTGTTGAACATTCATGTGATGGTTGCACTTAGATAAAAAGGAAGAGTATCCTTGATGTCCGGCACTACAGTATAGTTGACCTCGCTACCTCGCCACACCCTGACTAGCATCTTTGCCTGTGCACATCATGGTGGCAGCTTTCACATGGTATGGTTTCCGAACGGGGTCACATGACCAGCCGCTAATGCATTATGGTCGGACATTACTTTTGAACCCGGTTTTGACGTGCAGGGGATGTAGACATCCCTTAAATGGGCCCTCTGAGCATCAGTTATCAAATGAATCTCATCAGGATGGTGACAGTGCAAAAAAACGTCTGGCGAAAACCCCAGAGGTAGAACATCACGGTGCCTTGTGGTTCAAAGATTACCTGCACGTCATGTTAACCTCGCTAAAATATGCTTTGATCAGGTCAAAACGTCCTACATTAACACTACATCCTACATTGCATGAAGTTATATACATCGGGCAAAATATTAACCATTTATTTTTGACAGTTGAAGTTGACACACAATCTGCGTTTCATAGGAATAATGATAATTGTCAAAATTTGTATAGATGCAGCCGCTAAATTTTCAATGTTTCAGTACATTTACCGCCGGATATTGGGTATGTTGAATTGTTTCTAAACCAAAACAAGAACTTGAGCCAAACGTTCGAAAAGAAACTGTTCTGAACTCGTGGCCTGACACACAATAAAGTTCTCTTCTATTCTGCACCTTCCCCAGCACTCTTGGGAAATTGTGAAGAAAGAAGCTTCTTTTGTAAAGCATGTTTACACTGTGGTCAGCAATGTGAACAAGTACTGCTTCAGCGATGAGCACTGTCGCGAGATATAAGATCTGGATAGGTAGGTTACGCAATAATGGGAAAAACGTTCCTTGAAACATAAACTTGTAACTTGCAATCTTCAACGTGAAGAACGAGAGACTCCATAAAGATTTTTTTTAAACTTTTAGAGACCCCCCAAAATACATCATAACATTGTATACATCTAACGCTTGTGTTTCGAGGTAATTCCCAAAGTGCAATGCAAAGGCTAACCCACAAATTGGTTCGTACAGAAATAAATTGTGAAGTGGTAAATAACCACAAAGAATGAATGAAAAATTAATGAATAATTATTTATATACAGTTTCAGGTTCACAATCACAAAAGGTAATACAATGATTCAGATGAGTGGCAGCAGAAATATATCACAGATCCTGAAATGAATGTCGGTGCACACACGAATGTCAAGAAGTTGTCGTTGTTGAATGTCATGAAAGTGGTTTGAAACTGGTAGGAAGTTGGTGTTTTCTGATGGGTATCCCGTCCGCACTGGGCAAGTAGCTAAACGTTGTAAAAGGCCTCGAATTGCCTCTTGTTGCTATCATGTAGGTAAAGTCAGCCTTTTAGAAAGTGGTACGAACACAACTATTCGAACCATCAAGCATGCAGTTTGATTACAACAACCAAGATGGGTAACTCTAAAGCACTCTCTTCCTGTGCAGGTCACAAGGTATTTTACGAGAGCCTCAGTCATTTGCTGCCGATGACAATTATCAGTTGAGATGAAATGGGGTTTTACGTCGCGTCCAAGATTACTGCACTTATATAGCGACATGCATGCATGTGTGAGTGTGTGAGATTGTGTGTGTGTGTGTGTGTGTGTGTGTGTGGATGCTTGTACTGGTCCGGACTGATGCCGATTTTATAGCGGTATCCCCCTGAGATACCATGCCGCAGTTTAACACGAATACCCCACTCAGACACAGTATACCGACTCCTAGCCAACTAGTCCTTGTTTTAGCCCCTTAATTCCGAGCACAGGGTAATAACGCGGTAAAATGTAATACTGCGGTAAATTGTAATACACACTGCGGTAAATTGGAATACCTTCATTGCAGTAAATTGTAATAAAAGCTGTCTGGAAATCAAATTCCGGACTTTGAAACGACTGATTGATAAATGCTAATGTACATTTAATTCTTGATATTTGTATTTACTCAGAACAAAATTCGAATTCCAGTGTTTGTTCGACCCAAACAGATTGAAATCGGAAGGATAAGAGATGCTATAATAATTACAATTTACCGCACTTGCTATTACAATTTGCCGCAGTTTGTTACAATTTGCCGCACCTGTCTTTCAAAAGAAATGACAGAAATTGAAACAAAATCGCTTTTTTGATTTCCTTAAACATGCTGGAGGTTGGAATTGATCTTGTTAAGGTCCAACAAACACTGGAACTCGCATTCAGTTTGAAATCGGAATGATAAAGAGATGTTATTACAATTTACCGCACTTAGTAAAACAATTTACAGCAGTTTGTTACAATTTGCGCGCACCTGTCTTTCAATAGAAATGACAGAAATTGAAGCAAAATCGCTTTCTTTGATTTCTTTAAACATGCTGGAGGTTGGAATTGATCTTGTTAAGGTCCAACAAACACTGGAACTCGCATTCAGTTTGAAATCGGAATGCTACAGTGATGTTATTACAATTTGCCGCATCTGCATGTGTTACAATGGGAATGACAGAAATTGAAACAAAGTCGTTTTTTTCGTTTCCTCCTTAAACATGCTGGAGGTTGGAATTGATAATGTTTGGGTCGAACAAATACTGGAATTCGAATTTTGTTCTGAGTAAATACAAATATCAAGAATTAAATGTACATTAGCATTTATCAATCAGTCGTTACAAAGTCCGGAATGTGATTTCCAAACAGCTTGGACGCACATTTTAAACTTCATGCATGTTTCTTTGTATATTTGCAAAACAATAATCTTTTATTACAATTTACCGCAGTGGTTATTACAATTTGCCGCAGTTTTTATGACAATTTACCGCAGTGAAGTTATTACAATTTACCGCAGTATGTATTACGATTTACCGCAGTGTTATTACATTTTACCGCAGTGTTGTTACATTTTACCGGAGTTTATTACAATTTACCGCGTTATTACAATTTACGTCGTAACAAAGTACCATCTTTTTTTTACATCTTTTGGTATACAATTATCTGGGATACAATTACCAGACAATATTATATTATACTATTTTGTATCTAAACACCATATTAATAGGATGCGCGCATGAAAGACAGAAAGAGCACGATGCCCCGATATTTCGATGAATCGTTACAACCCCAAGTATCGCCAACAAGAGCTGAACTACAAAGGAAGACAGTGTCAGGCAGTGCAGTCAGCCTGTTTGATATTTGTTGATAAGTATCTGGCACATAGCTGAGATGTCCGAGATTATCATGAGACCTAACGGGATCAGGACGACGGCAAACCACGTGACACCCATACCTGAAGAAGATGGCCGGTGGTCTGCAGCACTTGTGTATCTGGCGATGGTCTGGGTGAGTTTTGTTTTATCAACGAGGAGATGCCTTTTTAGTTTTTCTTGTTTTTCGTTTACAGCTTCTTTAGTTACAACTTCAAGTCTATCTTTTGACTTACAGAAACATGTACAAACTGTTTCTATGGTACGCGAGGGATTGACGTTTGCTGACGTCGTTTGTCTCTGGGTTGTGACAGTAGTCGGTGTGTGCGTCGTTGTGGAAGTAGGCGTCATCGTGGTGGTCAGATCAGAAGTCGTAGCAGATGTAGTAGCTACAGTTGGAGAAGTAGTTGAAATGGATGTTGTTCTGCTGTTGGTTGTTGTAGGAGTCGTTTTGGTAGAAGAAGTGCTTGGAATCAGGGAGGTCTGTGTTGGAGTAGAGGTCGTGGTTACAGTAGATGTGTCAGCTGTGGTAGATGGTATCGTTGTAGTCGACGCTGTTATTGTCAGACTTGTCGCAGTGGTTGTTGGTGTAGTGGTCGTTGAAGTAGTAGTCGTTGGAGTAGTGGTCGGTGTAGTGGTCGTTGTTGTTGTGGTTGATGTAGTGGTCGTTGATGTAGTAGTCGTTGGAGTAGTGGTCGTCCGTGTAGTGGTTGTTGGTGTAGTGGTCGTCGGTGTAGTGGTCGTTGTAGTAGTTATTGGAGTAGTTGTCGTTGATGTAGTAGTCGTTGGAGTAGTGGTCGTTGTAGCAATCGAGGTAGTGGTAGTCGGTGTAGTTGTTGTCGTAGTTGTAGTTGAGCTTGTAGTCGTAGTTGTTGGATCTGTTAGTGAAGCAGTGCGAATAAGTGAATTCATTGCCTCACAAGACTTCGACAACATCGGTTTGATAGGGTACCCCATGTCGTACACAGTGACAGGATACCCCAGATGGAACACACTGATAGGGTACCCCAGGTGTTACACACTGACAGGGTACCCCAGGTGTTACACACTGACAGGGTACCCCAGGTGTTACACAGTGATAGGGTACCCAGGTGTTACACAGTGACAGGGTACCCCAGATGGAACACAGTGATAGGATACCCAAGATGGAACACACTGATAGGGTACCCAGGTGTTACACAGTGACAGGGTACCCCAGGTGTTACACAGTGACAGGGTACCCCAGGTGTTACACAGTGACAGGGTACCCCAGGTGTTACACAGTGACAGGATACCCCATGTCGTACACAGTGACAGGGTACCCCAGGTGTTACACAGTGATAGGGTACTCCAGGTGTTACACAGTGACAGGGTACCCCAGGTGTTACACAGTGACAGGGTACTCCAGGTGTTACACAGTGACAGGGTACCCAGGTGTTACACAGTGATAGGGTACTCCAGGTGTTACACAGTGACAGGGTACCCAGGTGTTACACAGTGATAGGGTACCCCAGGTGTTACACAGTGACAGGGTACCCCAGGTGTTACACAGTGACAGGGTACCCAGATGTTACACAGTGATAGGGTACCCCAGGTGTTACACAGTGACAGGGTACCGAGATGTTACACAGTGATAGGGTACCCAAGGTGTTACACAGTGATAGGGTACCCCAGGTGTTACACAGTGACAGGGTACCCAGATGTTACACAGTGACAGGGTACCCCAGGTGTCACACAGTGACAGGGCACTCCAGGTGTTACACAGTGACAGGGTACCCAGGTGTTACACAGTGATAGGGTACTCCAGGTGTTACACAGTGACAGGGTACCCCAGGTGTTACACAGTGATAGGGTACCCCAGGTGTTACACAGTGACAGGGTACTCCAGGTGTTACACAATGATAGGGTACCCAGGTGTTACACAGTGATAGGGTACCCCAGGTGTTACACAGTGACAGGGTACTCCAGGTGTTACACAGTGACAGGGTACCCCAGGTGTTACACAGTGATAGGGTACCCCAGGTGTTACACAGTGACAGGGTACTCCAGGTGTTACACAGTGACAGGGTACCCAGGTGTTACACAGTGATAGGGTACCCCAGATGTTACACAGTGACAGGGTTCCCCAGATGGAACACACTGATAGGATACCCAAGATGGAACACACTGATAGGGTACCCCAGGTGTTACACAGGGACAGGGTACCCCAGGTGTTACACAGTGATAGGGTACCCAAGGGGTTACACAGTGATAGGGTACCCCAGATGGAACACACTGATAGGGTACCCCAGGAGTTACACAGTGATAGGGTACCCCAGGGGTCACACAGTGATAGAGTACCCCAGGGGTTACACAGTGATAGGGTACCCCAGATGGAACACACTGATAGGGTACCCCAGGAGTTACACAGTGTTAGGGTACCCCAGGTGTTACACAGGGATAGGGTACCCCAGGGGTTACACAGTGATAGAGTACCCAGGTGTTACACAGTGATAGGGTACCCCAGGTGTTATACAGTGATAGGGTACCCCAGGTGTTACACAGTGACAGGGTACCCCAGGTGTTACACAGTGATAGGGTACCCCAGGAGTTACACAGTGATAGGGTACCCCAGGTATTACACAGTGACAGGGTACCCGGGTGTTACACAGTGATAGGGTACCCAAGATGGAACACACTGATAGGGTACCCCAGGTGTTATACAGTGAGAGGGTACCCCAGGTGTTATACAGTGATAGGGTACCCCAGGTGTTACACAGGGATAGGGTACCCCAAGTGTTACACAGTGATAGGGTACCCAAGGTGTTACACAGTGATAGGGTACCCTAGGTGTTACACAGTGATAGGGTACCCCAAGTGTTACACACTGATAGGGTACCCCAAGTGTTACACAGTGATAGGGTACCAAGGTGTTACACAGTGATAGGGTACTCCAGGTGTTACGCAGTGATAGGGTACCCAGGTGTTACACAGTGATGGAGTACCCAGGTGTTACACAGTTACAGGGTACCCCAGGTATTACACAGTGACAGGGTATCCCAGGTGTTACACGGTGTTTGGGTACCCCAGACCGAACACACTTATAGGGTACCCGAGGCGTTACACAGTGATAGGGTACCCCAGGTGTTACACAGTGACAGGGTATCCCAGGTTTTACACAGTGATAGGGTACCCCAGGTGTTACACAGTGACAGGGTACCCCAGGTGTTACACAGTGATAGGGTACCCCAGGTGTTACACAGTGATAGGGTACCCCAGGTGTTACACAGTGACAGGGTACCCCAGGTCGAACACAGTGTTTGGGTACCCCAGGTGTTATACAGTGATAGGGTACCCAAGGTGTTACACAGGGATAGGGTACCCCAGGAGTTACACAGTGATAGGGTACCCGAGGTAATACACAGTGACAGGGTACCCCAGGTGTTACACAGGGATAGGGTACCCCACGAGTTACACAGTGATAGGGTACCCCAGGTAATACACAGTGACAGGGTACCCCAGGTGTTACACAGGGATAGGGTACCCCAGGAGATACACAGTGATAGGGTACCCAAGATGGAACACACTGATAGGGTACCCCAGGTGTTACACAGTGAAAGGGTACCCCGGGTGTGACACAGTGACAGGGTACCCCAGGTGGAACACAGTGTTTGGGTACTCCAGGTGTTATACAGAAATAGGGTACCCAAGGTGTTACACAGGGATAGGGTACCCCAGGAGTTACACAGTGATAGGGTACCCCAGGTAATACACAGTGACAGGGTACCCCAGGTGTTACACAGGGATAGGGTACCCCAGGTGGAACACAGTGTTTGGGTACCCCAGGTGTTATACAGAAATAGGGTACCCAAGGTGTTACACAGGGATAGGGTACCCCAGGAGTTACACAGTGATAGGGTACCCCAGGTAATACACAGTGACAGGGTACCCCAGGTGTTACACAGGGATAGGGTACCCCAGGTGGAACACAGTGTTTGGGTACCCCAGGTGTTATACAGAAATAGGGTACCAAAGGTGTTACACAGGGATAGGGTACCCCAGGAGTTACACAGTGATAGGGTACCCCAGGAGTTACACAGTGATAGGGTACCCCAGGAGTTACACAGGGATAAGGTACCCCAGGTGTTACACAGTGACAGGATACCCCAGGTGTTACACAGTGACAGGATACCCCGGGTGTTACACAGTGACAGGATACCCCAGGTGTTACACAGGGATAGGGTACCCCAGATGGAACACAGTGATAGGGTACCCCAGGTGTTACACAGTGACAGGATACCCCAGGTGTTACACAGGGATAGGGTACCCCAGATGGAACACAGTGATAGGGTACCCCAGGTGTTACACAGTGACAGGATACCCCAGGTGTTACACAGGGATAGGGTACCCCAGATGGAACACAGTGATAGGGTACCCCAGGTGTTACACAGTGACAGGGTACCCCAGGTGTTATACAGTGATAGGGTACCCCAAGTGTTACACAGGGATAGGGTACCCCAGGTGTTACACAGTGATAGGGTACCCCAAGTGTTACACAGGGATAGGGTACCCCAAGTGTTACACAGGGATAGGGTACCCACGGTAATACACAGTGACAGGGTACCCCAGGTATTACACAGTGACAGGGTACCCCAGGTGTTACACAGGGATAGGGTACCCCAGGAGATACACAGGGATAGGGTACCCAAGGTGTTACACAGTGACAGGGTACCCAAGGTGGAACACAGTGATAGGGTACCCCAGGTGTTACACAGTGATAGGGTACCCCAAGTGTTACACAGGGATAGGGTACCCCAGGAGTTACACAGTGATAGGGTACCCCAGGTATTACACAGTGACAGGGTACCCCAGGTGTTACACAGGGATAAGGTACCCCAGGAGATACACAGGGATAGGGTACCCAAGGTGTTACACAGTGACAGGGTACCCAAGGTGGAACACAGTGATAGGGTACCCCAGGTGTTACAGAGTGATAGGGTTCCCCGGGTGTGACACAGTGATAGGGTACCCCAGATGTAACACAGTGATAAGGTACCCCAGGTGTAACACAGTGATAGGGTACCCCAGGTGTTACACAGTGATAGGGTTCCCCAGGTGTTACA